AAATAAATAAATACATTTTAAAGTGATAGATTAGACTACAGGAAAAATGTTAAATTTTTGAGGGATTGAAAAACCCATAAAAATATAAACTTAAAACAAACACCCTGTGAAAAACTATTTACAACACATGACAGATAAAGAATTAAGTCCCTTAAATCAATTTGCTTCCAAAAATCCTTAAGATGCATTCTGCTACCCCCCAGTCATTGGTCAGTTCTTGGCTGCATCCCAGCCTCACTTGACACATGCTGAGAACACGTCTTGCCCTTGGCCTCCAGGACAACGTACCCTCCTGCCCCTCTCTACCTCAGGAGTTCTTGCTCATTCACCTTCTATCTCTTTTGGCTCCCCAGCCTCTAACCAGGACCTCCCAGGTAGGTCCTGGGGCCTTCCCTTCCTGTCTGTATTCAGCCTGCCTTGCTGTCAATTAATCCCAAGGCATTAGATACTGTCTTTAAGCTGATGACCCCAAATTTGTATCTGTAGCTTAGACCTGTCCCCAGAGCCATAGCCTCATATGTCCAATTTCACAGTTCCCCATGGACGTCTGCTGGCATCTCACCTTTACATACCCATAGTCAGAGCTAGAGCATAGGTGTGCCACCGGGGCCCCACACTCAGAAGGGTCCAGGCCAGGCTAATGCTCTCCTATTGCACACTACTTGTAAATTTTGATCTATTCTCATTTTGCTCTGGGTCTCACACATTATGTAGCCAGTTGAGTCCACGGCTGGACCCCTTGTCACCCCTACACCAACCTACCCCTTTCTGCCATTTCCTGTCTCTGGCAGTGGGACCCTACCTCTGAATACAGATTGAGCATCCCAAATCCGAATACCCCAAATCTAAACCCTTTGTACGGTACATGATAACACAAGTAGAAAAGTCCAAACTGGGCTGCAGATGTGGATAGGGATGTGGTAGAGCATTTGCCTAGCATGCATGAGGCCTTGAGTTTTCTCCCCAGCACCATATAAACCAGGAATGGGGGTACATGCTTATAACCCCAGCACTTGGGAGGTAGAAGCAGGAGAATCAGGCCCTGACATCATCCAGTCTGCCCATGTCTCTCTCCTGCTGTAGTTTTTCTCCTTAACATCTCATACACACACTGTCTTTCACATATCCATCTGCTTTTTCTTGGCTGTCTCTCCTCCACTAAAGCATAAGTTTTGTGGAGCAAGCATTTTGGTCAGTTTTGTTTACGGTTAGGTTCCTAACCAAACCCATTTTCAACACACAGAAGGTGCCTGACGAATATCTATTGAATGAATGGACATGGGCAGAGAGAAATGAGCCAAGGGCTTGACAGGCAATTCAACAACGAAGACACAGACATCATTAGCAATCAGAAAAATGTAAAACAAAATCATTTTCCCTATCAGACTGGCAGGGATGTAAGTGGCTGCTAATGCCAGTGGTAGACATGGACAGCCATGTGCAGTGTAAGGTGGTCCAATCTCCTGAAACTTTATCTGGCTGCATGGAACAGATCAAAAGTGGAAATACACATTCTCTCAGGCCCAGGCAGACCACTTCCAGAAACATCTCCAAAGGTCCCACAGCGCAAGTGCACACAGATGCACAAACCCAGAGATTTCCTTGAGTGAGGTTTATAAATAGTCAGATGCGGGAAACCACCTAAATGGCCCCTGACAGTATTAATAATTGATGAAGAATTTACAGACCATCCACACAATGACTATGAAAGGAAAGGGAAGAATTCCATGGATAAACTTGGATGATCCACATGATGCCATGTCTGGTGAAAAAAAATAAAATGATGGAGAGATGTGTCTCGCATGATCTTGTGTTTTTTTCCCTTTAAAATATGTTTGTAAGTGCATAGGATAAGCCCAGAAGGACATATATCAAATGCCTTAGCAGCGGTTAGTTAGCCCTTGGGAGGAAAGGATTGTGGGAAGGGCTCAAACTCATGTTTTAAATCTCTCTGGGTAAGTAAGAGACATATTACCTTAATATTGGAAAATACCTCCACTTAGACAAACACCTCCTTGAGGCTCCTCCTTCCCCAGGTGAAAGGATGTGAAAGTAGAACATTCCAAGGCCCCCCATTATTCAGCCATGTCTCACCCAGGCTTCTCTCCCCTACCTGGCACCCTAGGAATGCCAAGTTCCAAGGCCATGAAACATTTCTATTCCTGATTCCCTTCACGGCTCCACACCCGTCTCACAGCTCTGTTCACAGGCACACAGGCCCAGTCCACCCCTCCCCGTGACCTCCTCTAGCTCTGCTAACATGAGCTAGAGAGGGAAGACCAAGAATCCCGTGGTACTCCTAAGGGCCAGAACAGTAGCCCCAGCCTCAGGTTCTGCCCCAGGGACAACTTGCAGGGCCAATGACTGTGGCCTAAGCATCCAGGTTACCCCTGGCTGCAGGGCATGGGCACTGGAAGCAGCTGATCCCATGGGCCTACCATATACAGTGTGCAAAACTGTATATGCCATGTGATATTTGGGTCATATTTATACTATATAACTTGTTGTATGTCTGAAGTTGAAAGTAAATTAGATACCTGTATTTTCTCTGGCAATCCCAGCTCTCATCCATCCTTGCCCTTGGGGGATATAGCACCAAACAGAATACTTTCGGCTGGGATGTCCAGGTAGGGGACCAACTGTGCAGATACACTGCTCCTGGGACTGTCCCCCACACCCTGCCTAGGGAGGAGCCCCTCTGAGAGTTGGAAACTCCCAGGTAAAAGCTATCAGGTGTTAATGGTACCAAGCAACCAAAAGCCAGAGTGACAGCTTTGAGGAGAAGCAGCAAAAGCCGGACCTCCTACAGCCCAGTGCTTGGCAGGTACACATAGCAGACAAATCCTGAGCAATCAGAAGGCCCTGGAGAGCCATGCTGGGCCTCTCTGAGTGAGGGCCAGGCACAGGGGTGGGGGGAGCTTCGAGTCCTACCCTGAGTACCCTGTCATGGCAGGGGCTCACCCGCTGCAGGCTGCCCAGGTCAGGGCTGAGATCCTCACACCCCATAGCAACACAGGCACAGCGAGTTGCCGCTCTCCCCCTACCTGGGTCAGATGGTGCTGGGAGACAAACAGAGGGGCCACTGGGGGCCTGGGGAACAGCAGCCTGGTCGTGGTCTCAGCATGCACTGTAGGGGAAGAGCAGGAAAGTTAGTGTGGCAAAGGGGGTTTCCAGCTACCCTGGAGTGGATTAACCCCAGACAGACCCCCACTGCCCTGCTCACAGTGCTCACTACTACCCAGCCCCCACCCAGCACAGGCCTCTGGGCACAAGCCTCCTTCTCCATTTCCTTGGGAGTGGCTTCCCTGAGTACCACAGTCTAGGAGCACAAACTCCCTGTCCATCACTTCCTTCCACTCCTTCCACTGACTTCCCTGGGTTAGCCCCACCTTGGCATGTTTTATTCACACTCACAAGCATACAGAAGGTCATTCCCCGCATTCTCTCTACAATTCCCATGTTGCCCACTGAGTCTGTCCCCTGCTTGCTCAAACCTCACAAATGTGTCCCCCACCCTCAGCACCCATAATACCAACAGCAAGGATCCACCCCCACCCCACAAGCCCTGTGGGCCTCTGGCTGACTGACACCCTTCTCTGGTACCTGTCCTCCTATGCTGTGCTGCACCCCTCCTGCCCCCTCTTAGTCACCCTCCCAGCACTATTTCTCTTCCTCCCTTCTCTCCCCTCCCAGGCCATCACACCCATGCCTGAGCCACTCTGCCTACTCCCAGTGGCACCCACCATGCCCCAGCATGACCCACAGGCCCTGTCCTTCTCCTCCCTTGGCCCAGGTTGCTTCAATGCCTCTGCTTGGCTCCTTCTCATCCAGGTCTCAGCCCACGGCGCCACCTCAGAGAGCACAGAGCAAGGAAGGTATGGGGTTTCCATAACGCACTGCCCTGTTCCACTCACTGGCGTAGCATCTGTCCCTATTTCAGTGGTTCCACAGAGCGCTTTCTTTAAGGCACAGTAATTGAGGTATAATTACCCTGCAGTCCAATTTACCCCTTTTAGAGTACAGTTCTATGAGTCTTGATAACTACATATGGCCATGTAGCCACCACCATAATCAAGGTAGAGAACAGTTCTACCTCAAGTTTCCACGGGCTGTCCCTTTGTAACCAACCACTGACCTGCTTCTGACCCCATAGTTTTGCCTTTTCCAGTGTCTACAAATGGGCATCTATGTGGCACCCTGAGTCTGGTTTTATTCACTTAACACAATGTATTTGAGATTTATCTGTGTTGTCTTATGTCAAAATCTCATTCCTTTTTATTGCTGAGTAGTATTCCATTATTTATCCACGCACCAATTAAAGAGCACTTCTGTTGTTAACAGATTTTGTATACCATAAATAATGCCACTGTAGCTATTCAGATGAGTTTTTGCATGAGCAAAGTTGTAATTTCCCCTGGTAAGTACTCAGCAGTAGGCTTGTCAAGTTGTACAGTAAACTCTCTTTATAAAAAACTGCCACATTTTTGCCAAAGTGGCTGTACCATTTTGCATTCCCACCAGCAAACTTTGCCAGCTCTGGTTGGTCTGTGTCCTCTCTAATAAATACTTCACACTGTTATTTTTTATTTGTTTATTTATTTTTTTGGTCTTTTTGAGACGGGGTCTCCCTGTAGCTCCAGCTGTCCTGGAACTCACTATGTAGACCAGGCTGGCCTTGAACTCACAGAGATCTGCTGCCTCTGCAGGCGTGCACTACCACGCCTGGCCCATCACACTGTTACTTTTTTTAAAAAATTTATTATTTTTATTTTATTTGTATGTGTGTATTGCCTGCATGTAGGTAAGTACACTCATGTTGTGCAATGCCCGCAGAGGACAGAAGAGGGTGTCAGATCTGGAACTGGAGTTACAGACAGCTGTTAGCTGCCATGTGGGTGCTGGGATTTGAACCCGGGTCTTCTGCAAGAACAGTCAGTGTTCTTAACCACTGAGCCATCTCTCCAGCCCCACACTGTTACTTTTTAAGGTGTTAGTGTAGCATCTCATTGGGTTGTAATTTGTCTTCTCCTAATACTGACAGTGGTGAGCATCCTTTTTTGAGATGCATTTAGTTTAGTACCATCCCTACTGAAGATTCTCATCTTAGTCTAATTATTTAGCCATTTATTTCCCATTTTCCCCATGCATCTCTGGTGCTGGATGATGGGTGGCAGTGGTAGATGGTATTCATAGAGCCCTGTGCACTGTTCTGAGCACTTAATGTTAACTCATTTAATCCTCACAGCTATTCTAAGAGAGCTGGATGCAGTGGACAGTCCCATTTTGTGGTGCTGGGGATGGGACCTGAGGCCTTGGATATAGTAGGCAAGCAGTCTGACACTGAACTGCATCCCAAGCCCTTCAATATTCTCATTTTACAGAAGAGAAAAATGGAGACAGAGAGAAGGAACTTGCCCAAGGTCACGCAGGTAATAAGGCACAGAGCCAAGCTTCTACCCCAGGTGCTCTAGAGTCAGAGTCCCTTGTCATAATCAGGACATCACACAGCTGACAAAAGCCACTTGATAAGCCTGAGGGTTGGGGACAAACAGGAAGCCACAGTCTTGCCCTTTCTTGTTCACAATGACCCTGTGACAGCCTTTGGCACAGAGAAGATTCCTGCCTTACAGATGCCAGTAAAACCCTTTGTCGTCAGCTGAACCACGTGAGACACTTAGGCCAACAGGCTACTAGCTAGAGCGGTGTCGGACTACAGCATTTCAGACCTACCATGCCATGTGGTCACATGTTCCAGATGGTGAAGCCACAGGATGACAAGGTAGAGCTTCTGAAAGCTGTTCCTTGAGCAGATGTGTGGGGCAGAAATCCTCCCATGCCCTGCTTTGGACATGGAGTGTGAGCACCACAGTGATAGAGGGGAGAGGCCCTGAGCTGCTGAGTTCCAAATGTCTTTACTGGTACAGCATAGGCCCTGGGGCCATGTGACCACAGTTTGGATTGAGAATGTGTATGGATGGCTTTCTGTGAGGTAGAACTAGCCCCCATCCGGAGCCTCTAAATAACTGAGATTTGGAGACCATCTCAGCCCCCAGCTTCAGGGTTTCCTCTCTACAAGACAGGAGTTCCCAGGCCCCACAGAGGGGGTCCAAGTAGGGAAATCCCTCCTTGGAGGAGGGAGGTGGGAGCTGAGGCGCAGTGGTAGTTCCATCACCATCAGGGCCCTGGTAACCTCCAAAGGCCTGAGTCTGACATTAGAAAGTCCAGAGATGGGGCTGGAGAGCTGGCTCAACAGTTAAGAGCACTGGCTGCTCTTACAGAGGACCCAGGTTCAGTTCTCAGCATCCACATGGCAGCTAACAACCATAACTCCAGTTCTATGGAATCTGATGCTCTATTCTGGCCTCCTCAGGTACTGCATGTACATGGTGCACTTATATTCTTATAGGCAAAACACAAAACACTTGTATACACAAAAATCAATAAATCAATCAATAAAATATTTTTAAAAAGAACAGCCAGGTGTTGTGGTGCACACCTCTTTTTTTGGTCTTTTTGAGACAGGGTGTCCCAGTAGCCCCAGCAGGCCTGGAACTCACTATGTAGACCAGGCTGGGCCTCGAACTCGCAGAGATCTGCCTGCCTCTGCCTCCCAGTGGTGGCGCACACCTTTAATCCCAGCACTCAGAAGGCACAGGCAGGCAGATCTCTTCGAGTTCAAGGCCAGCCTGGTCTAAATAGCAAGTTCCAGGTCAGCTGGGCTACAGGGAGACCTTGTCTCAAAAAAACCAAAGAAAAAAAATTTTTTTAATAAGAAAGGCTAGAGCATCTTCAGAGCTGCTGCCTTGACTTAGGGCTGCGTTCATCTCTCAGAAAAGCCCAGAGTCCCCCACTCAGCTGTCCAGGGTAACCATCAAGGGAAAAGGAAAAAGCCACAGGGCTCTGGAGCTGCCAACGTAATTGTGGGCTTATATTTCAAGCTTATTGGCACTTTACTCTGGCAATTATCACCTTAGATATTGTATGCTTCTGAGGGACACCACAACAGGGAGAAGAGGCAGCCCTCCAAGTTAATATGGGGACTGGTGACACCCAAGGGAAATGTCTTAATGTTTTCAATACCCTGCACCTTCTTGCTTTTTCCATGAAGTGAGATAGGATGTAGTGGAATACCCCCTCCCCAAAGTAACAGGTGCAATCTGGCTCCTTAGAGGCCATTAGACTCTTGTGTCTTACTCTCCAGGAAAACTGTGGTTTCTTGAATGAGCACCGGGCACTGACTTCCAGGTATGCCTCTGTGCATCCACAGGTCTGCCTGCCTGTGAACTCCACCAAGGGTGCTGTAAACTGTGCCCGTAGTTCATACAGCACCCTGCAGGGCTCTGGAGTGTGCTGGGGGAAAGTGGGGGTGGGGGTGGGGGCGAGTGGAGGTGGAAGTTGTTTAAAATGAAGACACCCCTGGGGCGAAGGCAGTCTCAGTGGGATCCTGGGGACCTAGGGAGGGCTTCCAGAAGATGGTCACCCAGAACCCTTTCAGAAGCTACAGAGTCAGGGGACTGCAACTAGGTGTGGCTACTCAGCCAGCAGGGACCAAATGGCATCCTATCCACTTTTTGGGTGAAGAATCAAAGTGCACAACTGAAGTGCTGCCCTGGAAAACAAAACATGCTAAGCCAGGGCAATAGGGACTCATTTGTTCCATTGAGGCTTTCCTCACTTAGGTGGGAAAACCACAAATGCAAGGTTGGTGATTTCTGTGAGCAGAAGTGTTTTCACTGGATCCGGGCCTGAGACCCCTTTATGCTGGAACACCCTTACAGCCAGACCTGAGACCTGTCATGTTGGAACACCCTTACAGCCAGGCCTGAGACCCCTTCACGTTGGAACGCCCTTACCACAGGATCTGTCAAGATGGACTCAGATGGGGAAGCTATGGCCAGGATCCCTGTGCTTTCTGCCTTTGCTTCCCTCAGGCATGTCTCCTGGGCAGGCTGTTAAAGAGGGATTCCCACTGGGGTCAGGGTCAGGGATTGTTTGAGGCTAGAGCAGAGTCAGCTGGGCTGGGGTTAGCTCAGACCATGTGCAGCTGAGCACTCTCCCTCAGGGAGTGAGGGGATTTGTTTTGAACTTCGTGGTCTAGTGCTCAGAAGCCAGGCCATGCTGGATGAA